ACCGAAGGACAGAAAGTTAAAAGATGTGTCCGTGCTTGTGCTGTGCTTGTTCTTCGTTTATTGTTTGGTTGGGGTTTGCTTTGTTTTTCTTTTGATTTAGGTTAACTGTAGTTTAGACCCAAGAGCTTATTTGACCCTGGCAGCTTAAGTACAGAAGCAAAGAAAGGATTGTTGGTTTTCAATGTGAAGAAGCAAACTTTCAACCATTTGCTTGGAAGCCTATTCTGTTGGGAATGGCAAGAAATCTACCCACAGCTTTCTTCATCTAGGTTTGACTCAACACTCTGAAGAGAAGTGAAAAACTATCTTCTCAATGGAAGATGACTGTGAACCTGAGCAGAGCTCCTGGGCTCATTTACCTGATGTCTGTCTGAGGCACATCTTCCATTGGCTGGATGACAGGGACAGATCTCAGGCTGCCTTGGTCTGTAAAAAATGGAGTTGGGCCATGTACTCAGGATCCCTCTGGAGAAGAAGAACCATCACATTCTATGGCCGACAGTCAAGGGCACAGACACTGGAGTTTCAAAGTGCACTGTGGTATGTCAAGAAATTTGGCAAGTATTTGGAGCACCTTGAGATCAAGTTATCAAATCCTTCCAATACTGCCTTTACCCAGAAATTTCAAGTGATTATGAGAGGTCTTCTTTCACATCTGGGTAAGTGTAACAGTCGCCTGGTATCCTTGAGCATCAAGTACCTGGAATTAGACCGCTTGATCTGGAAAAACACGGTCAGGGCTCAGTTTATCAAGAACTTAGCTACCTTCCTGAAAAGAATGAGCAAACAGCTTGATTATCTCAACTTAAAAGGAGCAAGAGTAACTTTGGAAGAAGGCTGTGAGCTTCTGAATTCTCTGAGCTGCTTGACAAATAAAAGCTTTGTATCTGAAATCAATATTGAGGATTTCTTCAGTCTCCACCTTCCTGTCTACAGCAGCACCTTGTTCCACCAAACTATGTCCAAGTTCCACAGCCTGGTCATCCTGACTTTCAATTATAACTGCATCTCTGATGAACTGCTGGACGTCCTGCAAGAGCAGAGCGCTCATTCCCTGTGCACCTTGAATATCAAATGTCATATCCGTGACCCACACAGGCAAGTGGTCTTGGGAATGTCATGGGCAAACTTGGCTAAGAGAGCCCCAAAACTGAACGTGAACTTCTTCTTTGAAAGAGTGATGAAGCATGATCACCTAGCCAGGATCCTGCTAGTGGAGATCCCAGTAAGAAGCATCAGTCTAAGGAGCTGCTATTTCAGTAACCCAGACTGGACAATGAGACCTACCCTCACCAACCTCCTTCCAGCCTATTGGCATGTTCTGCAGGTAAGGGAAACAATAATGACACCTTACTGCAGAATCACAAAGCTAAGCAAAGTAATCATACAGGCCTTCTGCATGTCATCAGTCATCAACAGGAATTCCTGACTGCCTCTGGTTTTTGTTCAGAGGGTAATTATCGTTAAGTGAATCATTCTGCTATAGTCTCCAGCTATATATAGCAGATACATATCGGCTTCAGCTATAGTCTAGTTCTGGTAGCTATCCTTGTCCAGTTACAAACCCCCATTATGCTAGTCTTTGCTGTCAGGCTGATGTCAGATTGCCCTCACAAAAAGCTAAACCACAAGAAATACAGGTGGCTATAGTATCAGCTGTGAGCAGAAAGAACCTTTCAGGCAGGAAAATGTCATTTTTGTAAGAGCCTTAGGCTTATTCTGGGTAGACACCTTCATGTTTAGTAACTGAGAAGTTTGTAATCCTTTCAGATTTTTCTGAATCCCACCCTTTTGCAGGGAAATCTGCACGTGAGGAAAATAGTCTGTGCACCTTGTTTGCTTACAGTGCTGTAGCCTGCATCAACCCATACTGATGGTTTTGCTCCATTTTGGCAATACACAAATGTCTTACAGCACACGTACATTAACTGGTGTCCATGTGAAAATACCAAGGATGTGTCACCAAAGGTGTGCATCAGCTGACCCATATAAATGACCATCAGGTCTTCACATGCCTGAGGGAAGCACATGGTCTTATACCCAACTGTTGCTGACGGCATCGTAGAGTTTCCAAAAAACAGAGAGATCTGTAAAGCATTCTAGAAATTGTCTTTCCATCTGCTGTCGTAGCTGAGATAATTTCCAGTATGTCAAATAAGGTCATGGCGTGAGCTGTGGGTGCAGCATTTTCTAATGGTAACAGAAGTTGTCTGTGTCCTAGGACTGTATGTAATGCACACGGGAACCCCCATCTTAACAGGAGAGTGGAGATAATTGTAGCATATACTGTTGTCATAACACAAAACTGATTATCTGCTGTCAAGGTACAAAACTGATCTGCTGACAGCCACACGAGTTCATACAATTGGGAAACTTATTTACTGAACTCTCTGGCTGTGCTCACAAGCTCTGTTCTGCAGCACTAACCATGATCATTCTTTTTCAAGAAATTGACACTTGAACTAAACAACGGCCATGAGCTGCTGGATGATGAGCTGCTGCAGCTCATCTTAACATGCAAGAGGTTGTTATTCCTGAAAGTCTGGGCATTTCTAAGTGTCACCTTTATCGAGAGGCTGCTACAAAACCGTGTGGAAAGGAAATGCATTTTGACTACCATAAAGGTAAGACTTTGTGCTTCAGATCTCCCATTCCCTTCCTCTCTCCAATACCCAGAGAAAGGTGAGTCCCCATGCTCATAGAAAGGTCACTTACAGAAATGTTAACATAACTACCTCTACTGTATTATGTTTTAGCATTATAGAGAGTCTGAGAACCACTCACAGCAATGGGGCTTTCCAGCGTACTTTACCATGTACGGAATACCACAGAAGTTTAATTAAGAAGCCCCAACAATTCCACAAGTCCTTCCTAGACTGGGGTTCCCTCTGCCACTGCTAGTTCAAGCTAGGGATTCTCCATCACCTCCCTGGTCCAGTGTTTATGCCTATTCTTAAATTGAGGCAGGTGGGTTGAATCCGACTAAACTGCAAAAAGATCTAAACACATCTCACACTGGCAGTGCTGTGTTGAGCTGGGGCCGGACCACAACTGTAGCTGGTGTAAACCATGCTGTCATGCTACTTTGTGTGCTAGATTCTGAATTCCATAGATCCCAAACCTATGCATATCCCAGGGGTACCCATCAGTTCCAGGGGTAAAAGGAACCTTGCTTTTCCCAAAAAGTCTTTGGCAGGAGATGATGTTTTCAGTCCATTTGGAGTGAAAACAGAGTAAAAGCTCAAGATTTTAGTCAAACCCTATGAATCTGGCATCTCTAGATTCCTCATTAGTCACAAAGGCTTCTTGTCATGAGCTTTAATGGGCTTAGCCTGCTCCATGTATCTGAGACATGACTGTCATGCATGCAGGTCAGGATTTACACAGCCCGACCAGAGAGCAGCGAGGAGGATCGGCTGTTGCGTGACATTTACAGGAAGTTCAAATACCTGATTGATTCAGAGCTTAATTATTTTGTCATCACTTACCCACTGGTGTAAACCACAGCGAGAGAGAAGAACCCAGTGACATCTGCAAGCAATGAATGGATTTGGAGGGTGTTAGTAAGGAATTTGAATCTTGGCAGCAATGCCTCTAAAAGGAAGATATCATTACAGCGAGAGAGAGGCAAGGGACAATTTTACACTCCATGCATTAAAATGTTGGACTTGGGAACTGGCTTCCTGTGTCTCCAGCATAATTTATTCTTGTGCCTGCTTTGTTCTTCCTTGCCAGAACCAAAGGAAGCAGTGAGCCCTTTTTCACCCTTAGAGGCCTCTCAAGTGTATATAAGGCTATCCTCCTTTTTTCAGTAGTTCTCATTGCAGAGCATCAAACACCTTACCAATGAAGCCCATTTCATTGTTTCCATTTTACAAATAGGGAAACTGAGAAATGGGTTGAGGAAGTGGTTATTCCAAACTCAGCCTTGGCTTGATCTTGACTCAGGTGCAATCAGATGCACTATCTAGTGCAGCAGATATTAAGAACAAAACATACCATGGCTACTCCTGGGAGTCACCCCTCCCACTCACCCAGCTTCCAACAAGTGACTTATGAGGAGACTCCTGTTCTAGCTTCCACAGTTTCTACACCTTTCAATGACAAAAAGAGACCACTGGTTGCACACACGATAAGTAACATGGCAGAAGGGACATTTCTTCTTATTCTGGGATTTTATTACCAAGTGGGAGATTTCATCAGGTGTTCTAGAGCATAGATAGCTGTAAAATGGAGAGCTGTAAGTACTAGATCTGTTTTAATTATCTTGCACAACTAGAACCAGGACAGCATTGAGCCAAACCAGTAAATCTGGAGGTTTGTCAATAAAATTTCAGCAGG